AATGAGTATGTTAGTGTGAAAAGAGAAGCAAAAAAAAATTATGAAAATGATATAGCAATCAAAGCCAAGACCGAACCAAAGCTACTCCACAGTCACATCAGGAGGAAAACAACCGTGTAAGAACAGGTGATCCTTAAACCAGACGGCCTTGGTAGGGTTGGAAATTACAAGAGATGAGGTCAAGAGACACCTATTGGACCTGGATGTGAGAAAAGCTGTTGGTCCAGACGGAATCTCTCCATGGGTATTGAAAGAGTGTGCAAAGGCACTTTGCTTACCACTCTCTGGAGTCTATAGTAGGTCACTGGAGACGGGAAACCTACCAGAAATATGGAAGACAGCTAATGTAGTACCAATATACAAAAAAGGGTGACAGACAAGAGGCACTGAATTACAGGTCAGTGTCCTTAACTTGAATACCATGCAAGGTGAAGGAGAAGATCGCGCGAAAAAACCTGGTAACACATCTGGAGAGAAGGGACTTCAAGACAACCCTTCAACATGGGTTAAGGAAGGATAAATCTTGCCTGACTGGCTTAATAGAATTCTACGACCAGGAGACAAAGATTAAGCAAGAAAGAGCAGGCTGAGCGAACTGCATTTTCTTGGACTGTCGGAAAGCCTTTGACACAGTACCCCATATAATGGCATGTGCATAAGCTGGGGAAACAGACAGGAGTGACTGGTAAGGTGCTAAAGTGGATAAGGGAACACCTAAGCAATAGGAAGCAGAGAGTTACAGTGAGGGGTGAGACCTCAGATTGCCGTGAAGTCACCAGTGGAGTCCCACAGGGCTCTGTACTCGGTCCTATCCTGTTTCTGATACACGTAAAAGATCTCCCGGAGGGTATAGACTCATTCCTCTCAATGTTTGCTGACGATGCCAAAAGTATGAGAAGGATTAAGACAGAGGAGGACAGCTTGAGGCTTCAAGAAGACCTGGACAAACTGAAGGAATGGTCGAACAAATGGTTGTTAGAGTTTAACCCAAGCAAATGTAATGTAATGAAGATAGGTGTAGAGAGCGGGAGGCCAGATACAAGGTATCATTTGAGAGATGAAATTCTTCAAGAGTCAGAGCGAGAGAAAGACTTTGGGTTGATATCACGCCTGACCTGTCCCCTGAAGCTCCTATCAAGAGGATAACATCAGTGGGATATGTCAGGTTGGCCAATATAAGAATGTCCTTCAGAAACTTGTGTAAGGAATCATTCCGAACTTTGTATACCACATGTTATACCTGGACAATGTAGCTCCAGCATGGAGTTCATATCTAGTTAAGCATAAGACTTAACCGGAAAAGGTTCATTGGTTTGCCACGAGACTAGTACCCGAAGGGGTATGAGCTATGAGGAGAGACTACGGGAATTAATCCTCACGTCACTGTAAGACAGAAGAGTTAGGGGGGACATGATTACCACATACAAGATTCTCAAAGGAATTGATAGGGTAGATAAAGACAGTCTATTTACCACAAGGGGCACACGCACTAGGCGACACAGGTGGAAATTAAGTGCCCAGAGATATTAGAAAGAACTTGTTTAGTGTGAGAATGGCTGACAAATGGTATACATTAGGAAGTGATGTGGTGCAGGCTGACTCCATACACAGTTTCAAGTGAAGACATTAAAGAGCCCAATAGGCTCAGGAACCTGTACACCAGTTGATTTACACTTGAGAGGCGGTACCAAAGAGCCAGAGCTCCACCTCCGTAAGCACAACTAGGTGAGTACTCACCTAGTTGAGTACTAGGAGAATGGAGTACAACATAGACATGTAGCCACACGTGCACCTCAACATGTAGCCACACGTGCACCTCAACATGTAGCCTCACGTGCACCTCAACATGTAGCCTCACGTGCACCTCAACATGTAGCCACACGTGCACCTCAACATGTAGCCACACGTGCACCTCAACATGTAGCCACACGTGCACCTCAACATGTAGCAACACGTGCACCTCAACATGTAGCCACACGTGCACCTCAACATGTAGCCACACGTGCCCCTCAACATGTAGCCACACGTGCACCTCAACATGTAGCCACACGTGCACCTCAACATGTAGCCACACGTGCACCTCAACATGTAGCCACACGTGCACCTCAACATGTAGCCACACGTGCACCTCAACATGTAGCCACACGTGCACCTCAACATGTAGCCACACGTGCACCTCAACATGTAGCCACACGTGCACCTCAACATGTAGCCACACGTGCACCTCAACATGTAGCCACACGTGCACCTCAACATGTAGCCACACGTGCACCTCAACATGTAGCCACACGTGCACCTCAACATGTAGCCACACGTGCACCTCAACATGTAGCCACACGTGCACCTCAACATGTAGCCCCACGTGCACCTCAACCTGTAGCCACACGTGCACCTCAACATGTAGCCACACGTGCACCTCAACATGTAGCCACACGTGCACCTCAACATGTAGCCACACATGCACCTCAACATGTAGCCACACGTGCACCTCCACATGTACCTACAGAAGATTCTGAAACTGCATAAACTCCTTAGCGAGACGCCTCTTGAAATACCCTCTGAGCAGCAGCATTTGGGCTTCTCCAGTCGAATATAAGGGCGTGACCTGTGGAGATCACAAGCGTACTGAACCAATCCACTGGGGCCTTGATGAGAGTTCGAACCTATGTGCTGGATTTTTCCAGACGTGCTCTAGACAACTGTACCACAACATGGTAAAATAATTGCAACCTTCAGTTCTACTCTTCCCCCCACCCTTTCCCTACTTCCAACGAGGATTCCGTGGCTTCCAATGAAGCCTACTTGGGGTTTCATACACTTCCCCCATACACTCTGTCACCCAAATAGTTCTACCTCTGATATATCACATTATTGTCATTTCTGTGTGTACGGAAGTACCAAGATTCGACTTAGAGCAGCAGGTCCTTCAGAGATCACGTGCTGCTGGTGAGGCCAGAACAGTGAGGGGCCTCGCCAACAGCTCACATAGGACGGGCAGTCCCACGCAGGAACTGCTACCATCACCCAAGGAGCAGCTGGCAAAGACATCGACAAACAGGAGACAACTATAAGGGAAGTACATGATAGATTATGTACCCAAACAGTTACCAGAACCAGTCACTCCATCAGTCTAGAGAACACTGCAGTAATTGTAACCACTGAGAACACTTCGACAGTGAATGCCACATTGAAAGAAAAGAAGAGACGAGCAAGGCGCTTTAAAAATCTCGTTGTTGAAGAAAGCCCAATGTTTCGAACCTCCCAATTTTCACAGGTAGATCTGCATAACACTTAATCTAATCCAGGATTCGCTCCACCAGAAAACAGGTGTACCCAATCACTCACCGGTTATGCTTATATAAATCCTTCTGCTCCTTTAAACAACAATCTAAACGCAGGATAACCAACAATGGTAATATAGTGATATCAAAGAGTACTAGTCAAATAAACAGCCTTTCTGTCTCTTATCTCGACTAACATGAGAGAGTTGACGACGAGTCACAATAACGTGACTGAAGATATGGACAGAAACGTCGTTTCTTCATCTCGTGTTGTGTGGGTTGGTCTTCACATCAAAGAGTTCTGAACACACTGGGAAACCTTTTACGTTTGCATGATACCTTGTAAAGCTGTTACGGCGGCAGCTGTCGAAACCCTCTTTGGTGATTCAGTCCTAAGTATCTCTCGAGGAATCAAAGGATACTCTACATTGTACAGTAGTGACAAACAAGTCTAAGACCTGAAAGACATCTTATTATGAAAGAGGACATAAACACCTCACACTAAGCTACAGGTGGAAGTAGAAGTTGTTATGTTCGGCCATTTAGAGGAGACCTTCCAGCAATAGTGAAGGCTCTAAAGAGCACGACAGTGACAGAGTATTATATCTGGCAGAGCATCAACGTAAGCTACTACATCAACACCAACATAAACTTTTTATCCTCGCCGGTGACGTGAACAACACCAGATTCAAGCGAGTATTTAATCTATCCTTAAAACATCTTTGAGATGACGAATTATGTAAATTTCTCTACCCATCTGTCAGGATCATCACAAGACCCTGTGATCACAGACCTGGCAGCAGGTGTAGTTACTGGTCTATCAGTGATCTGTGTTGGTTCCTTGGGCCATCAAGTAGTACACGCCAACGCCGTCATCAAGACTATCGAAGACCGTGCAGCATCGCGCGTCGCCTGGCTCCCAACAAAATCAAAATTAGTATGTTAATATATTAGATGTTTACTACGCTAACTGAACAATTTTCATACCAAGTAAAATTTCAGAATCCATATATATCCACAAAAGAGTCTGCAAAAGTAAACTAGATAAACAACCTCGGTATGAAAATGAAAGCAGAACTTTGAGCTGATTAGAATTGGAGAGCCTGGAATCACTATAAAAGAAATCCAACCTGCCAATATAAGATCCTTTATAACAGTTTGAAAAATCGCACGAGAAATGCACCACTGGGCTATTGATAGGTTGCACGAGAACGTAGAAGGAACCAGAATCACGATGTTGGTGGACCGGCAGTAAAGGTTAGTGGCGCTTAACACAAGAGCAACAAGAACTAGCATCTGAAAACTGTACACCAGCACATAGCACACCTGACCCATGTTGTCTAGAACGACAAATTTATCGGCTCTTATCTTGCATGCAAGATGCATGTTAAGGAGCCAGACCGCTCTCGTGCAGTGTTGCCTCTCCTTGCTACGTCTTGTCAATCTCTAAAATCAAGAGAGATAAGATACAAATATTCCTCCTCGACACTGATGGCAGCAAGATCCTTGGACCAGATGTGTGTGCGTTTGCACATGTGGTTCGCAAGAGATGTGTCAAACTCTGAACAACACACACGGTACTCCAACCATGGAGCGCTTCCCAATAAAAACCCATCCACTTGGGCTGGACGGAAGAGCGACGGTCTCGCTTCATGCAGGTCGGCGTTCAATCCCTGATCATCCAAATGGTTGGGCAACATTCCTTCCCTGCGTCCTATCCCAAATCCTTATCCTGACCCTCTTCCAAGTGCTAAATAGTCGTAATGGCTTGGCGCTTTCCCCTGATAATCCCCTTCCCCACCAAAAGTGGTGATTCCTGCCTATAAAGTAATATATATATATATATATATATATATATATATATATATATATATATATATATATATATATATATATATATATATATATATATATATATATATATATATATATATATATATTAAATATGACCGAAAAAGTAAGATTAATAATTCTAACACGAATTTTCTCAATCTTTCGTACATTACGCTTCACTGTTGGAGGTAAATCAAAAATCAGTTCTCCAAAATTCATTTTTATTTCTAGTCTGACGCGACACGGGCGCGTTTCGTAAAACTTATTATATTTTCAAAGACTTTAGTTCACAAATACACAACTGAATAGAACTTACGTATCTCCGATTTTATATCTACATTTGAGTGAGGTGGAAGGGGTGATGTGGCATTAACACAAGACAGAACAAAGTGTGGTATTAATAGGGTATTAATTTCATCAACACAAGACAGAACAAGAGTATTAATAGGGTATTAATTTCATCAACACAAGACAGAACACGAAACAATGGATATTGAATAGTATGGATAATAGAATAGTATAAACAGTGTGGTATTAATAGAGTATTAATTTCATCAACATTGATTTCATTGTTGATGAAATTAATACCCTATTAATACCACATTTTGTTCTGTCTTGTGTTAATGCCACATCACCCCATCCACCTCACTCAAATGTAGATATAAAATCGGAGATACGTAAGTTCTATTCAGTTGTGTATTTGTGAACTAAAGTCTTTGAAAATGTAATAAGTTTTACGAAACGCGCCCGTTTCGCGTCAGACTAGAAATAAAAATGAATTTTGGAGAATTGATTTTTGATTTACCTCCAACAGTGAAGCGTAATGTACGAAAGATTGAGAAAATTCGTGTTAGAATTATTAATCTTACTTTTTCGGTCATATTTAATAATATATGTCTACAGGAAAGACTGCTACCAAAATATACTAATATATATATATATATATATATATATATATATATATATATATATATATATATATATATATATATATATATATATATATATATATATATATATATATATATATATATATATATATATATATATCTGGTATATATATATATATATATTTATATATATATGGTCCTGGGGACCATTCAGGCTTGTTCGCATATATATATATATATATATATATATATATATATATATATATATATATATATATATATATATATATACATATATATATATATATATTTATATACTATATCTATATCTATTATTAGTTAATATAACTATATTAAGCTAATTTAGTACTGATATGTGCTATACTAAGCCCAGTAATATTTAAGTTAGTTTTAGCTTCTATATTTTTTCGGACTATAAAGTACCAAATTCTACTATCTAATTGCCCATTTCGTCAATATTTGTACTATGGTGCACATAGTTACAAAAACTAAACAGAAGGATGTGTGACAATATAATACAGTCACAAATCAAGAGAAAACATAAGTTATTCCTCACGACCCCATAATCTTGCAGCCAGACCCCACAATGCGCAGGAGACGTGGCTGCTCTTTGTGGCTCACAATGTCCGCAAAACGCATACCCTACACTTAACTTTTCTGCATTTTACTCACTAAAAGACATGACACATGGAATAAAAATGACACTACGCGACTATTAAACAAAAGTTTCTAATGCTCAACCATAGAATTTCCAGTTTCGTCGCATACAAAATAAGCAAAAATATAGAACTTATTTTGGCAACCAATAGTGAAGTCGCCTCAGTAATTCAAACATCTTGTTTGAATTCCCTAGATCATATCCATGAACAGCTAATGCCACGAAAGGTAAGGTAATGTAATTATCAGGAGATAGAGCTAAGCCAGTATGACAAGACAGCACTTGGAGGAGACATGGGAACAAGTGAATGATATATGAGGAAGAAGGGAAGGAACGGTGCTCCAGACGGGAGACATCTCCCGTCACCCAGGGTGCAGTCGCACCTCCACAGATCTCCAGTATCATCTATTGATACTGGAAATGGCTCAAAAGGGCCACCACTTATGGGCTATTCATGCCCAAGCCACCTTTTGGGTGGCTTAATCTTCTCTCTCTCTCTCTCTCCTCTTCACGACGAGAGACATCTCCCGTCACGCAGGGTGCAGTCGCACCTCCACAGATCTCCAGTATCATCTATTGATACTGGTGATGGCTCAAAAGGGCCACCACTTACGAGCTATTCATGCCCGTGCCACCTTTTGGGTGGCTTCATCTTCATCTTAACACATTCACAAGGGACACATCTCCCGTCATGCAGGGTGCATTCGCACCTCCACAGATCTCCAGTATCAGTTCTTGATACTGGTAATGGCTCAAAAGGGCCACCACTTACGGGCTATTCATGCCCGTGCCACCTTTTGGGTGGCTTAATCTTCAT